CTTTTCGAAAGTGGAGAATCCACCGTTACAAAGAATGCGGAATTCTATAGTGGCCGTAGTTCGAAAGAGTCCACATCCAATCGCTGGTAGCGGGTTATCCGCTAATTTCTTCGAATCGTGGATCCTCCACATTTGCAAAGTATGAACGCCACCCATGTCGACTGCCGCCAGGTAGGCGGACAGGGACTATCACACATCGAGAAGCTAGCACCATGCTCCCAAACTTGAAAAAAAATTTTACGCAAACTCTGCCCGCAGCGGTTAGTCAGTGCCCTGTACACGAACATGACATTTACTTTGGTGCTGGGGCCATACGGCGTGAACAGGGGTTAATTTGGTGCCACCACGCATCTCACCATAACCGATCGAAGTAGGTACGGGCAGTAGACATCCAGATAGAGAATATCACGGTCGTTTTTAACGCTACCGTCACTTGAACGCGCGCCAACGGATGCCATCACCTTGCTCACCAGAAAATTCTATGGGGGTTCATTTGAGCTTCTAATAACGAACGTGACACTCAATGTGACTCCAAGCGCTAAATTGCGCTGGTGTCGAAAAGTGAATGTCATTTTAGTAATCAGGCTACCAACAAACTCTATTGCAAGTTCTGGTGAGAAAGGTGGTCGCACCAGATCGGCGGCATCGACAAAAAGATTCGTGACCACGATGTCCAACAACCTTCCGAGCCCAAGTTTCACTGATTTTGGTGAGAAAGGTGGTGGCGTCAAATTCGTCACATGGCGGCCAGCGCCAAGAATGAGTGTCATATTTGTGATCAGAGCACCGAGTAACATCTATAGGCAGCATTTCAGCGGAATAGATTTTTGAGTTTCTGAAAAGTTATAGCGGATTCGTGCGTAATGTTTTCCAATACTTTGGAGGAGAATTGTGGATAACATTGCGGATGGGCGATTGGCCACCTCAGCTTTACCCTATGATTCATACTTGGCAGGTGAAGGGAATTCCGAAGGTAACGCTCTCAAGCGAGCTCTGGGGAAATTCGCAAGGTCAAAATGAAATCACACAAGGGCGTCGAGAAGTTTCCCGAGACACCTTCACCATTTACCTTTTTGGCAGTGACCCGGTCAAGCTGAATTACTCCTAGCGGGACTACTACTTTCTTATGGTTAGAGCCAGTCAGAGTGCTCAAGCAATTTGTAGGCGTTCTTACTTGTTCAAGTGTTTCGCCTTCAGTATCTGAGATTCTCCAGTTTCGCGGCTTCAAACGAAGGCGATGCGGCCCTCATAAATTGCAGCTCTGACGCCTCCTTAACTGTCCCGCCCACCAGCACTCAAAGGTTATTTACTGCCACGAGTTCAATTTTTGCACCGTGTTGTTCGCTTTTTTTCCTGTCGAAAGGAATTAGTATTAGATAACTCGAAGAAAGGATTAGTGAGTCTGAGGCGGTACGACATTGCTTTGCTGGCATAAGACGACCAGCTCCGAATAGCTTATCTAAAGAGGCTGCCAGAGGCCTACCTTGTGGTGTTCCTTATGTTTTTTTTTGTTTTTCCCCTGGAGAGGCACTTAGCGACTATAGATTCGTGACTGAACTCTACTATCCTTAATATGCAATTGCGGAGCTTGTCTTTGATCAGTTTTGCAACTGAATTCCATGGCAAACGCCGGTTTTTGTTGAAACAAGCATACCATCTATGCAAACGACCTTTTTCAGCTGCGTGAACCTGTTGGACGTTCCAGTAAGGATTCTGTACAGTTTACAATGTAAAGGTTTAAGTTCTTCGAACACGTTCAGGTTCCACTAATACTCTTTCGTCGGTTCCATAAAGAGGACTTTTTTTCTAATTTAAACTCTTTTGAGGAATGATCGGTAACAAACGACGACAATAATCCCTTCAAAAGGAACCTTTAATAAAAACTAGGCGCTTCTTTATCTGTCGCCACTAAGAACAAGTTTTCAACGATTGTTTTGTTCGAAGAACTGCTGGAATTCTCAAAGATGACGTAAATGGTCTAATTTCTGCACAAAACATTTTGGTAAGGCGTTCAAAGCCTCTGCGAACAGCCAATTTTGTAACTTGGCATATTCTAATTGGACGGAAGCTTCAAATGGTGTCACGCGCTCGGCGTTCGCACCTGGACCTAAATGGTTCAACATATCAGTACTACAAAAGGTCAAGTCAGCTGACTAGTGAAACTGCTAGTTTGAACGGTATGCCAGAAATCGGATACCTTGAGCTACATGCGCGGAATGAAGTACTTTCAGGGAATGGAAGAGCCTGGGCTTATTAAATATGAGTAAGAATATACGAAACGAGACGTACGACTATATGTGATGTAGATAAAGACCGGCTCTTTTTTTTAATGAAAAGACTTTCATAGAAAGGGCGAAAAGTACGTTTTCAAAATGGCAACAAACATCACCATGGTAGGCAGTTGTGGAAAAATGACTGACCTAAGAAGTGAGCCTCCTACGGTACCAACAATCACTGAGGACAAAGTACAAACGAGAAATAGGTTCTGCCGGATCCAGGACAGTTTGCTTGTCTCTTTGTACATCATTGTGTACCCTAGAAGAAATGTTGAAAGATCTGTAAAATTAAGCGGGGCTTTAATTCAGCCCTATACGTTACTCGTCGGATTTGACCAAAAGAAGGAAGTTAAGAGCATTAATTCGAAGAGGATATCAAACGATCAAAGAACAATGCTGTATGAGCCATTCAAACTCGTAAGAGAAATGGGCGAACTAAATGTCATGACCGTTCATGAAGTACCAGGAGCTGGAGAGAGCGACTGTCCTAAGTGATAGGTATCGCCTCTGGGTTTTTAGATAATTGCCTTGAAAGACCGGTAGGCTAGGCACTGATTGCCTCTCATGTATCAATGTCTGATGATCGGGTAGATGAACGAGTTTCCAATCTAAGAAGCTCCGCCTACACTTTTTTGTCATGCACTTAAGGACACACTCCGCATTTGTATTTTGCGGCTAGCGTAATTCAAATATAAATTCGTAGGTGATGTCGGGTCAGTAAAGAAGAAAGCAGTAAAGCTCGTCGAAAATGCCCTAAACAAGACCTGGTTGATTTCTAGCATGGAGACCCACAAAAGGGAACAGTCCAGAAAAACGAGATTGATGGGGCATGTCCTGTTCCCCTTTTAGCTTAGACGTACGCAAAAATATTGAGGAAAAGCTTGAAACTAAGAAGTTCGGCGTTGAAAAGAGAAAGAAAAGAATTTAACTTCGGCATTGAATAAGTCCTTTTCGAAGAGTGCCATACTTCTATGAAAGAACTGTGTTTCCTAGTTAAGTGCTTTCTACACAATAGCAAGTGGAAACCATGAAAATATCCGTATTTTAAACGCCTACTCGAGCCTGATACCACTTTTTTTGTCCCGTGGTTCTGACTTCCGACTGTGCTCGTAGTAAGCGAAAGTTAGCATCAGACTCCTGAGTAGAGTTTGGTTTGCAGTCTCAAAGATGTTCCCATTTTCGTGGCTATTTTTTGTGGCTTGTGCTTGATCAGAAGCAGTGTTGTAATTGTCTTTTGTGACGCTATATTACGGTGTATTACTGGTATTACGGTCCTGCAAACTTTTGGCACCACAGCTCAACGTCGGCTCCTCATGGAATCCGCTGTAGCTCGACGAAACCTGCAGAATTGTGGTGGAAAACAGTCAATATTGAAATATTTATTCATCTGTTGTTGGAATATGTAGATGACGATGTGGTGCTTCCGGGCTGATGCAAGACGAAATTGCTTTTTCTGAGTCGATGTGGGTTGGTGGGATGCTAGCTCATGCTCAGGAACTGAGCAACTTGAAGAGCGGGCATACAGGCTCAGAGCTTAAAGGACCTAAGTTTCACGATACCTAAAAGGCTTGAAGGGCCTTATAAAACAAGAAAATGGCGAAAAAACGAAGTGAAATGGTGAAAAACCTGCGAAGAAAAGCCTTCGTTTATAATGACTCAGTTTTTGGACGATTTCCCATCTTGCCAGAACCGCTACTAGATACGGCTGCACGTATGTACTCGTATATCCATGCAGCACCGCAGTCGCTTCATATTTTACTTCGCAAATGAAGCAATACGAGCATCAGGTACAGTCGTCCATTTGTGGGCGGGCGGAGTGGTGGGTGTGTGTTGTAGGTTGATAGGGCCTTATTAGGATACCTTCCTTGAAAAAGCCGCTACGCAGCTCCTGCTCAAGGCACGTATTAATGCCCACTTGCCTAAGGAATTATTTGGCGCCAACAGCCCTTTAGAACAGTCAAACTCGCCATATACAGCATACGGTACATCGTTGTGGGGGGATCCCCAGTAGAGGAGGGGGTCGCATTTGGGATGGTGGTTGACTTTTCGAGGAAAATCTATTAATAGGTAACAGGGGAGGGGAATCGTTCATTGCTACTTGAGGGGGAGGTCGTATTTACTTTTTTCCTTCTAGGAGTGGATGGGGATGGTGGTTGACTTTTCGTGGTTTTTCCTGTTTCACATGCCCTCCCCCTCGCCCCCCCCCCCCCCCCTCCCCACTGCCCAGCTCCTCGATTAGATGAGGAGGGGGCCCGAGGGCCGGAGGGGAGGGGGCGGGTCGTAGCCAAGTCGACTAAAAATCCCCACCCAAATGAAGTGGCCGTGTGATACCGCCAGTGAACAAAGTCACTGCGTACTTGCTCATTGCTACTCGAGGGAGGGGGCAGTTCCTATTTACTTTTTGGCCTTCCAGGAGTGGATGGGAGTGG